TTGCATTGTAACTACAATCAAGACTCGAAAGAGTACCATGATTAGTTAGTGTATACTTCTACTAATCCGGGTAGCTATAACATGCTGCTAGGTGACACTCATGGTTTGTGGAATTAAATTAATTCATTTTAATTTCACTGTTGGCTTTAGTTAGAACCTAAGAGGTCACACACACATTATAAGTTCTAATATCGTTATATGGATGATGATTAGATATAATTGATTGTTAATTATATTAGATTGAGTATTTGGGCTTGTTGGACATGGTTTTAATTAAATAAGCATTGAGCTTTATTTAATTAAAAGGGGTCCAAGTCACAAACCCAAAGTGGGTATGTGAGTGGGCTTGGCGTGTGGGATAAAACCCTAAGAGGGTGTGGCAAGGAGTATATAAATACTCCTTATGTTTCTTTCAATAGACACAATGCAAAGTTGTTTAGTTTTTCTCTCAAAGAAAAGAGAGAAAAACTCTAAGCCAAAACACATTAATGTCACCCATTCTATGTTGATCTAAGTGAGAGATATTGCTAGCACATTTGAATCAATCACTCCATCATCCGTTTCTAGATTTATCAGTGTAGATACTCTTAGAGATTCTAACTTGGGGACCTTGGCGTGATCAATTATGAAGAGAAAAATTGCAATTATAGGGATGATCCAATCATGTGGCATGCACGTGGTTAGAGATTCAAGTTAATCTCTTCTACTTCTTTGTTTGTTGCTTTATCTATATAACCAATTGGATGTATAATGGGGACATATTGCATGTTGTTTATTATTTTATACTACGTCTTTAATTATTCAAATTAAATTAATCCCAATAATATGCTTGGAAACCCAACAGTGTGGTGGTTAGGGGTGTAGATGTAACAATGGTGGTAAGGGTTGTGGTTGTGGTGGCAATAGTGGCGGGTGTGATGGAGGCGATGATGGTTATGGTGGCAGTGGTGGCAACAATGGTGATGATAATAGTGATGATGAGGTTGTTGTTGTGGTTGGGTTGCCAGTGGTGGCAATTATGGTTGTGGTGGTAGTGGTGATGATGGTGGTGGTGGCAGTGATGACGATTATGTCAGCGTTGGTGGTGGCAACGATAGTTGTGCTATAAGGTTGTTACAGTGGTAGGTAGTGGTGGTTATAGTGATAGGCAGTGGTGGTTATAGTAGTAGGTAGTGGCGGTTAATTTGTTCTCCAATAGGAAAAATGTGGGTAAAGGATAAATAATGTCATTTTTAAAGACTACTAAGGATATTGTAGGAATTAAATAATTCATTAAAAACTTAACTTTGTTTTTTCTAAGCTGCTTATAAAAGTTGCTGTATAGAGATCACTGCTTTTAAAATAAGTAGAATATTTTAATTTTATCAAACACTTTTTATTGCTTAACTTTAAAGTGCAACCGCTTTTGGTATTAAAAAAAAAAAAAAATCAAACGGGGGAGCTAGTAAAGGATGTGGCGGTTGAGAGCATTCCCGTTAGATTTTACAAAACAATATGAATATGTTTTACGTTTGTGCAACAAAGCAGCCTATTTGGTGGCTTCACATGTAACCAATTATGAAGATTCTTTTTATTGAGACTTTGTTAGTCCTGGATTTTTATTCAACAGTCTAGCAAAAAATGTAAACATTTCTATTTGAATTAAGTCGGATTTGTATCGTACATTGGTGGGAAAAAAAAAAAAACCACCAATTAAAAGATTAAGATGAAGTACGGTGAGAAAGCAATAATTATTTTCGAGGTTACCTTGCTTTCACCTTTCAGACGTAACTGCGGTACAGAATATTACTTGAGTTAAGCAGCATGATGTCAATACGCATTTATTGCTTGAGACTAGCATAGGACTAATATAATCTGGCTTAGCTGATAATTATCCACTACTTAATTATGCTGTCATCCTTGTTGAAAACTTGAAGTAAACCATTACTTCCATTGACTTTCTTATTTGCTTCGATCTTAAACAAAATAATACGACCATGTTTGCTTGCCAAAGTTTAAGGCAATTCGATCAAAATTGTCAACATTGTCCCCTTATACTGATATCATCTCAATATATTGTCAACACCATCGATAATGTCCAATTATATCGATAATAAGTAGTTTCAAGTAATCTTTGATATGTCATAAACAAAATTATCAATACGTTGTCTAGACTAAATATTTTTCGATTGATACAATAATTATAGGACAAGTCACATTTTTTAGTCTCTTATAAACCCATGTTTAATTTTAAATGTTGATTTCGTTTGATTTATTTGATCTAATAATCATAAATAAAAAATGATATATGAGAAGCTAAATATCACGTGTTAAAATCACTTTCCTTGATAACGTTATTTGAGAACAATATTGTAATGATTGTGTTATTAAACAAGTATGCAGATGACCTGCCAAAATATGGGCTCATTCACATAGAAAGAGACTTTGGGCCTCAAAGTGGGTTGAGGATTTGCTGGGTATTTCTTCGCCTGTGGGCTTCATCCCTTGTTGCATGCAATGTTTAAAATTTCTTCGATACGGTAGAAATATCCACAAAATCAAAGAAAGATAGGAAAATGAGGCTGAAGTGTAAACTTTACCTCATATTGGAGAAACTCTTACGTTTAGACTAAATTAAAATTGACTCATATCATCTATATTTCTGACACAACTGTCAAATATTAGAGAAACTCTTATATTTTGTCCAAATTAATGCTTGACAATCCCTAAAGTTTCATTTAAATTTACATTATTTCCATTGAAAGCAATACATATCGATATTGATATTCGATATTTCCACAAATTTTTATATCGATATCGAAACACTGGTTGCATGCACACGCTACTGCACATACTACTGAAAAGGACTTGATATAAGCAATTTGCATGGATTAGGTTGGCATAAATAAATGCTAGTGGTACAAATTTCAACCTAAAATTTTTATATTTTACAATGAAGACGGATACATGAATTATATTTAGCTTAGAATATAATAGAGGATAAATGTTTGCATATCACAATCACATTTTATTTATTTATTTTTTCATATCACAATCATAATGTTTAATCTTCTAATTTCATTATCGCGGAGGTAAAAAATTATTAAGTAGACTCTGACTAAATTACATTATGTAAAGAAAGAAGGGCGACTATTTTGAATAATTAGAGTGCCGATATGATCTTTTCTAAAAATTGCTTTCACCACTTAAGTCGAAAGATAAGAAGGTTTGAACTTAAATTCTTTAAAGTTGAAACTTAAAATATATTTTAAATTGAAACGTAAAAGAAACGTACAATTAAATCTCTTTCAAGTTTGAAAAGAGATACGCTGTTAATTACTAAGAGCTGGTTGGTGGGTGCTCCAATAGTAGTAGATGGCTTCGTGTTTCTTTTTAGAAAAACTTGGATATCAATATAAATCTGTACTCTAAATCCCAATTTGACACGGTTTCGTACACACATTACTTCTCAACAACTATTAATAAAATGTGAAAATGTATGATAGTGATGGATTATGCATCTGTAATTAGGAACAACTAATCATAAATAAAGAACCTCTGAATGTTGTCCTATATGGCTATGAGTAGTGTGTGAGCTGTGAAGCTGCCACTTAAAAAATTAAAAACGGTGTCACCGAACACCAAAGAACCAAATTTACACCGCCAAATATACTAATACAATAGTTTCATTTTTTTTTTATTCTGTGTTTTTTTTTTGGAAGAGTAGGATATTTTATTCATTGAAAAAAGATATTATAAATACATATTATGAACAACTTATTTCCAAAAAGGTCATTGTAAACTAACTCTAAAAATATTATAATAAAACATCACCAATTGCAAAACAATGAGTAAATATCAAGCACTCGTTCGAGCTCATAGCCACCATTGAGAAAACAAAATGGAAGAGAGGTTTTCACCACTGGACCCCTCCATTTTTCTGGCAAACGCAATCGAAACTCCGGCAACCATTGATGCACCCCTTCACTCTTTCTTGTTTCTCTATACGAATTTGGATCCAATCAATTGGCAATTAGAGAGGCCTTTGTGAGTTGGGGTTGACATGAGCATAGCCATGTTCGACGTAGTACCGTGAGGGAAGGGTGAAAAAGAACCCCCATCGGGGAGTGAAATAGAACATGAAATCGTAAGCTCCCAAGTAGTGGAAGGAGCCAAGGCCCAGGGCTCTGACTGATTTTGAAGAATCAGCGGATGAGTTGTGGTTAGGGATGAATGTCACGACATTGACACTAACGCATATAGAGTATGGTGATTCCTATTCTTCTCAAGGGTATGAGAAGAGGTGGAAGAGAAAGAAAAGAAAAATAATGAATGGAGATAGTAGTATGACGAATTCACAGAATTTTTTTGTTGACGTTTGGTTTGAGTTCGCCGAAAATATAGAGAAGTGTAATGTTGTGGTGGGTTCTAGGGTTATTGGGTGTTGGGATAAAATCACCAATCTCTATTTTTTTTTTTTTCGTTTTTTTATTTATTCAAAGGCAATTTTGGGAGTTTGGTGGAGAAAGTTGTTTGGTTGAGTGAAGATAACAACGGGTCCAAATAAATTTCTCTGGCAAAACAACTATCAAAATAATTAAATTGAAAAAATATAGAAATATTTAATAGAATTTAGGATTTCTTGCCCTTGAATTCCGCATGTTTTGAGTATAAATGTCAATGGGGGCTCACGCGTTTGTTAATAAAAATCCATTTGGATAGGTTTTTATTTTTCAAACAAATAATAGCTTTAGCATATTAAATTGTTAATTGTCAAGGAAGAAAAGAATCAATTAACATTTTTGAAAAAAACGATATTATCTAAATGAAGAGGGTGACTTAGCCTCATAATAGTAATACTATGGTTAAAATTCACTTTTGGAAAAAATCGAACCTAAGATCTATTATTTACCAATGAGGAAAAATATTACTCGACTATAATACTAAATAACAAAAAAAATTAATAAATATTATTTTGCATTAAAGTTCATAAATATAATTAATTTTTGTGACGATAGTAAACGACCATGTGCTCCGCTCTATTGTCCATTTGAATAGTTGGATTGGACACAACAACAGAACAAAGTTACGAACAATTGCTTGTCAATTGGGCGGCGATGTTAAATGACGAAAGTGCACACAGGTGTCCGTCGCACACAAAATCTATGTTGGCCGGAGAACACCTGCGAGGGCACTCTCGGTATTTGAATTCTGAATTTTGCATTTCCTGACTTTCTGGGCCTGTTGTTCGTTCGTCATGAAAGCGACGTCGTTTGCCCACTAACACAGAGAAAATTAAAAGAAAAAAAGACCAAAATTACATATATGCAACCACGTTAATAGGAGCCATCTTTGTCTCTGCCACAAGAAAGAAATAAAAAGTGAAAAAATATTGAGAGAAAGGTACAGAAAATTTAACGAAATACGACGAACGAACGGGATTCAGAGAATTAATTTTCAAAGATCGACGGAGATGGTTGCTGTTGCATTGATACTCTAAAACTTTTCTGGCTCAAAAATGGCGGATTGGTCTGTTGGGTTAGAGAGTTGAAGCGCAGGCGGCATTGAATTGGGACGAGTCGGTTTCTGGGAACGAGGGGTTTCGCAGTTTTTTGTACCCCCTCTGTAATTTTTCTTGGAGCTTTCGGATCGTCACGGATTCTTGAGGGCACGTGGCGGCAATCTACGGATGCCACCTGTTGGCTTTTTCACTGGAGGGAAGATCTGAAAACGGTTTCTGTTTCCGTTTTACTTGAATCGCAAGGTATTTTATTTTTTATTTTTTAAATTTTTTATCCCAATTGTGTTGAAAAAATAGAGACTCTGGTGTTTGAATTTGTTGGTGTTTTTGAATTGGTGTTGTTTTTGGAACGTTTGGGTTTGTGTTTGCATGTGGGAACTTACTGGAGACAGATGGGTCTGAGTTGGTACATGCATAGAAGCTTTCTGGGTTTTCTGAATTTTCAATGGCAGTGGTTGGGAGGTGGTTGTGGGGGGTTTTTAAGATTCTGGGTTTGCTGAATCCAGTGTTCCTCTTTGTTTTCATTCGATTTCGGAGCTTGGGTTAGTTTTGTTTGGTGAATTGAGCTGTAGTTTGATATTTGTTTTTGGTGGGCAAGTAGGATCTTGGTTTACTAGTTTGAATTTAAGATTAACCCAAATTATACCTTCTGTTTTTCGATTCGTGGCAGGTTGTTGAATCGACATAGACAAAGAGGATTTACTGATGGGGGTGCCTTTAGTGTTTTGTGTGGTTAGTTTTTGTTCGTATGGGGTGAATTTGGCGCGGTTATAATCAAGAATATGCTTGAAAATAGTTTAGTATTTCGGTTTTAGTAATCGGGTGAATTGGTGAAGGTTTCCCATCTAGAATTTGCCTTGTTAAGAGTGGTAATTGGCAAATGAGCAGGGCAGCAGAATCGTTTGTCGATGGCTGCGCCCAGCAAGATATTCTCCCATTTTATTTCCATGGTTAAATCATGGATCCCTTGGCGATCAGAGCCTGCTAATGTTTCGAGGGATTTTTGGATGCCTGATCATATCTGTAGGGTATGCTACGAGTGTGATTCACAGTTTACTATCTTTAACCGTAAACATCATTGTCGGCTTTGTGGACGAGTTTTCTGTGCTAAGTGTACAGAGAACTCAATACCTGCCCCCTCTGGTGACCCAAGGAAAGATCAGGAAGAGTGGGAGAAGATTCGTGTATGCAATTTTTGTTACAAGCAACGGGAGCAAGGCATAGTTATTCCTGATAACGGAATCTCGGTTGCCAACTTAGATCTTAGTACTTCGCCATCAGAAACCAGTTTTGCTAGCTTTAAGTCATGTGGCACTGGTAGCAGTAGTAGCTTCACTAACTCAATGCCATACTCAACTGGGCCATATCAACGATTTCAACTTGGTTCTGGCCTCAGCCCCTGTCAATCGTCTCTAATGGAAACTAACACAGAAAAGCAGAGCAAATTCAGTCAATGGAAGAGCAGTGATTTTGGTGCCGATATGTCTCCAGACCAATATGAAGTTGCGACTGCCAGGTTTATATTTCTTCTTTGCCAGGTTTACATTTCTTATTATTTGTACCCTTAAGAATTGCATTCAAGTTAATTATGATTCCCATTCTCAGCATAATTTATAAGAAGATAGCAATAAATTATATGTAGTTATATAATTATTTAGCAACTGCTGAACCACTTGTTTGTTCTTTGGTATCAGGAGTGATGACGAGGATGTTGAGTATGGTGTATATCAGTCAGATTCAAAGAACTATCCTCAAGTCAGTGACTACTTTAGTCACATTGATTTCGATGAGATGAGCAATGATGATGGATCACATAAGGTGCATCTTGATGGAGAAAATATTGATGTGAAAATTTTAAGCAGCTCCTCGTTACTTCCCAGTCATGACTCGCAGGTTTTGGAGGGAATCCAAGAGCTCGAAAAAATAGAAGATGAACATGATACTGGGGATGAATATGAGGCATCTTCCTCTATGTATTCTGCAGGGGATGATGATACAGAACCTGTGGATTTTGAGAACAATGGACTTTTATGGCTTCCCCCTGAACCAGAAGATGAAGAAGATGAAAGGGAAACTGTTCTACTTGATGATGATGATGATGATGATGGTGACGCTACAGGAGAGTGGGGGCGTTTACGTGCATCAAGCAGTTTTGGAAGCGGGGAGTATCGCAATAGGGATCGGTCAGGTGAGGAGCACAAGAAGGCCATGAAGAATGTTGTTGATGGACACTTTAGGGCTTTGGTAGCTCAGCTGTTGCAGGTTGAGAACCTTCCAGTCGGCCAGGAAGGAGAAACAGAAGGTTGGTTGGAGATCATTACGTCTCTGTCCTGGGAGGCTGCTACACTATTAAAGCCAGATATGAGCAAAGGGGGAGGGATGGACCCAGGTGGTTATGTAAAAGTAAAATGTATAGCTTCTGGATCTCGCTGTGATAGGTAGTGATTCATTGAATTTTTCATGCCTAATTAGTATGTACTTCTACTGCACAATGGTGATTTCATGGCTTGATTTCTGTGCATGAATGATTAAGAAAACATAGGTGAAACATATAGAAGACCCATATTTAGTACAAATCACTATTCATAGTTATCCACTTGCAATAGCAAAAGAAGAAATATTTGTATAATCACTAGAAAGAGAACTCGAAATCTAAATGGTAGCACCGTAGCAGTGTTTCTTTCATACAATTGCAGGATTAATTAAACGATTTAAGCTTTTCTGTTAAGTGAATTTTGTTCTGATGAAGTATTGCAATGCATATCTGATGAGTTACTCTGCTAGTGATGTACTTCTTTATCATACCTTCCACTTCATATTTATAGACCTGTAATATTTTTGTTTATTTTTTTATTTTATTATTATTTTTTAAGCTAGTGTATCCGAGTCTTTGACCCGACTAATTACTAGGCCCCTGGCCTGACCCCACAACATTTGGGGAGGAGAAACTATAGCATTTGCTAGGTGGGTACTGTGGGAGAGTCGAACCCCAGACCACTTGGGAGAAAACCAAGGACCTGACCGCGAGACCAACAACTCTTAGGTGCAATATTTCTGTTTATAGGTTATGCCTACTCAGAATGAGTTTGACTTTCTTAATCACTTCAGAAGAAAAAGAAAAACCTGCACTGAAATCACATGTTTGTATTCATTGTAGTTGATTTGTTGAGGCTTATGGCCCCAATGGTATGAACGTTGCCTTCCGTTTGAATAAAAAAATTAAAGTCTATTGTTGCTGTAAAAGCTTTGGTAAATATTGTTTGTTTTCTAAGGTTTTGACTGTTTTTCTTCTAGCATGGTGGTCAAAGGAGTTGTGTGTAAGAAAAATGTGGCTCATCGACGAATGACATCCAAAATAGAGAAACCTCGGTTTATGATCCTTGGCGGTGCTCTTGAGTACCAGCGTGTTTCTAACCTCTTGTCAAGTTTTGATACTCTATTGCAGCAGGTTGTGATTGCCTACTCTTCTCTTCTCTTTTTCACTTGATTGTTTCTAGAACATTGGAAACTATTTTTATTTCCTTAATTAATAATCATTATTATACACTTATATCCTATCTAGGAGATGGACCACTTAAAGATGGCAGTAGCAAAGGTAGATGCACACCACCCTGATGTCCTTCTGGTAGAGAAATCAGTTTCTCGATATGCCCAGGAATATCTTCTTGCAAAAGGCATATCACTTGTTCTGAATATCAAGAGGCCACTTTTAGAGCGTATAGCTCGCTGCACAGGTGCTCAAATAGTCCCTTCAATTGATCATCTCTCATCACAGAAGTTGGGCTACTGCGACTTATTTCATGTGGAGAGGTTCATGGAAGATCTTGGTTCTGCCAGTCAGGGTGGGAAAAAACTGGTGAAGACATTGATGTATTTTGAAGGTTGCCCAAAGCCGTTGGGTTGTACTGTAAGTCCTCTGATTATCCCTGCTACACTTGTTTATGAAGATTGCATTAATTTGACACTGTTGACAATCTTTTCAACCTTGCATAGTTCTGTACTTGTGATTCTGAAGTGCTATGAAGTTTTCATTTAGCTATGTTGTCTATGTCATTCCAGATTCTACTTAGAGGTGCTAATGGGGACGAGTTAAAAAAATTGAAGCATGTGGTTCAGTATGGGATTTTTGCAGCATATCATTTGGCTTTGGAGACATCCTTCCTTGCCGATGAAGGAGCCACTCTGCCAGAACTCCCATTCAACACTCCAATTACCGTGGCGCTTCCAGATAAACCATCAAGCATTGAGAGGTCCATTTCCACGGTGCCTGGTTTTAGTGTTGCTGGCAATGGACAGTCTCACAATGAACCACGAAGATCCATCAGTGTCCCAGTTTCAGATTTGGACGCAGCAATCAGAAGTATACAGCCTCCTTTACTCAGTGATCGTACCTCTCTACCCGCTCCTCCCACTACAGGTTTCACCAAGTCTACATCTGTGCATCCTACTCTGTCCGGGAATGCTTCAGATACCACATCTGTGTACTCTACTCCATCTGGGAATGCTTCAGATACTTATCATAAGGGTCTTTCTCCTTATCATATATTTGATGATAAAAGTGAAATGGGTTCTAAAAAAATTTCACAGGTAGAAAATTCTGCAACCAAAATTTGCTCTGATATCATGTCTAATCATCTTGCTGGCAATAGCTTGAGGTCTTTAGAGTCTATGGGACAGGGTGGTTTCTCGATCGCCCAAAATGATGAAACTGTAAGTACTGGAAATCAACTAGGTGGTTCACACAATTCATTTCTGCATGAAGATGGTAATACTCAAGCTGATGAACCAGGACCTATGAATGAAGAGTTTCCTCCGTCACCTTCTGACCATCAGAGCATTTTAGTTTCCTTGTCATCCCGGTGCGTGTGGAAGGGGACTGTCTGTGAGAGGTCGCATCTGTTTCGAATCAAATACTATGGCAGTTTTGATAAACCTTTAGGACGGTTTTTACAAGACCATTTATTTGATCAGGTGAGCTATTTTTGACTTTTACCTTCTCTCTTTTCATTCAACTTTGTAATACAACTTGAAACTGAAAATGCTTAATCATGTATCAGAGTTATCAATGCAATTCTTGTGAGATGCCATCAGAAGCACATGTTCATTGTTATACTCATCGTCAGGGTACTCTAACTATATCTGTTAAGAAGCTGCCAGAAATAATCTTACCAGGTGAAAGGGAAGGAAAGATCTGGATGTGGCACAGGTGCTTGAAGTGTCCAAGGATCAATGGATTTCCTCTGGCTACTAGGAGGATAGTGATGTCTGATGCCGCGTGGGGTTTATCATTTGGAAAATTTTTGGAGCTCAGTTTTTCAAACCATGCAGCTGCAAGCAGGGTGGCGAGCTGTGGCCATTCTTTACATAGAGATTGTCTTCGTTTTTATGGGTATTTTCTGTGTCCCAGTAGTTTGATAGGTGGTAGTACAATATGATTGATATAATATTTTTTCTTCTTGTGGGTTAGTTTAACCCAACTCTGATGGTTATGCTTAACTCTCTTAATTTCAAGTACCTGCTCACAAATAACTTCATCGTGGCCCTTCAAGTAGTCGAGCATAGCTGATATGTGGGTGGAATGAATAATTGCATAAAAGTCCCCTATCTTTCTCTCTCTCAACGTGTGTATTCATGCAGATTCGGGAAGATGGTCGCTTGCTTTCGGTATGCATCAATTTATGTTCATTCTGTCTACCTTCCACCCGCCATAGTGGATTTCAATTATGAGAAACAGGAATGGATACAAAAAGAAACAGATGAGGTACAATGGTTCCATGTTTGGATATTTTACGATTGCATTGCTTTATGTCGTTGATTTGTTTATCTGGTTTTCTGGTTATAATAGGTTATTGATCGGGCAGAGCTTCTTTTTTCTGAAGTACTTAATGCTCTTCGTCAAATTGCGGAGAAAAGATCTGGTTCCGGATCACATAGTAGTGGCATTGTAACACCTGAATCGAGACACCAAATTGTCGAACTGGAAGGAATGTTACAAAAGGAGAAGGTGGAATTTGAGGTGAGCCCTTCAATTATTCATGTGCCACTTTCCAGCTCTAGTTGCAAACTTGCATGTTCTAGAATCTGAACTTTACGCATGGCTGGTTGATACGTGTAGTGTTTTCTTTTTGTCACTGCACTTTCATGTGGATGGACCAGAAACAATACTTAGTCAATCGAGTTCCTTTTTTATAACCCTTGTGATTCACCCTCAAGCTTCTTTAACGTAGCATGAGGTGGAAATATCTTTGATTGTCACAAAATCTTCTTGTCAATTCAATGGATAATCTTGTTGGTTTATTTTCATTTACATCAATATGGCCTTGTCGGTAGAGATGATTCTAACCATCTTTGTATGTGAAGTAAATTCTCTGTTTTGATATTTGGCGTAAAATGTTTTCCTCGATGCTTTATTTTCTAGGAATTGCTCCAGAAAACTTTGAACAGGGAAGCTAAAAAGGGCCAGCCTGTCGTTGACATTCTGGAGATCAATCGGCTGCGAAGGCAGCTGCTTTTCCAATCTTACATGTGGGACCATCGCTTAGTTTATGCAGCCAGTTTAAATAACAACAGATACAACGATGGTTTGAATAGCTCAATTTCAGATGAGGGGAAACCTGCGACTAGTAGTGAAAAGATTGCTGATAATGTGGCAATAAATCTAGGAAAAAGTTATAATAGTTGTGATTCCTTTCTTGTGGATGCAATGCTTAACAAAGGATTTGACCACGGGGGAGACGTTGCCAACACTGTCCATGCTGAAATGCTAAATAAAGAGAGAGACAGCGGCCGAGATTCAAAATATGAAAATGAAGATCAAGGTAATCTCTCTGATGGAGTTAGTACATGTGATCAATCTGATCCTTTGAAACCAAGGGCAGGTATTCATAGGTCCCTCTCGGATGGTCAGTTTCCTGTCATAATGGATTTGTCAGATACCCTTGACACTGCAGTGGACTGGTGAAAATCAATGTGGATTTGGAACAGCGAAGGACAATACCCGCACTGTTCCTGTTCTAGGAATAGCAGATTCAAGTGCCTCTTCTGTGAAGGACGAATTAAATTTAGACCATGCAGAAGACCAGAATGGGCCCATGATTGCGCATTCTGCTTCTCCTGCATTATCTACCAAGGGGTCTGAAAATATCGAAGACTCTGTAAGCTGGTTGAAAATGCCCTTTTTAAACTTCTATCGTGGGTTCAATAAGAATTTTTTATCTGCTGCTCAGAAGCTTGATACACTAGGCGAGTATAATCCAGTATATGTTTCATCCTTTCGGGAGTTGGAACTGGAAGGTGGGGCTATGCTGCTTCTGCCGGTGGGAATAAATGATACTGTTGTCCCCGTATACGATGACGAGCCCACAAGTCTTATATCTTATGCCCTTGTCTCACCAGATTATCATTCACAAATAACTGATGAGGGGGAAAGAACAAGAAACAGCGGCGATGTTAGCTTGTCTGATTCTTTCACTACGCAGTCACACCATCCTGATGATGACACAACAGCTGAATCTCATCGAAGCTTTGGATCTACTGAGGGTTTGGATCCGCTTTCGTATACAAAGGCTTTGCATGCAAAAGTTTCTTTCGGAGATGATAGCCCACTTGGTCAGGTTAAATACTCAGTGACATGTTACCATGCAAAACGTTTTGAAGCCTTAAGAAGGATTTGCTGCCCGTCTGAGCTTGACTATGTAAGATCCCTTAGTCGTTGTAAAAAGTGGGGAGCCCAAGGTGGAAAGAGCAATGTCTTTTTTGCTAAAAGCTTGGATGACCGGTTTATCATTAAACAAGTCACCAAGACGGAGTTGGAATCTTTCATAAAATTCGCTCCCGGCTATTTCAAATATCTATCTGAATCAATTGGCACAAAAAGTCCGACATGCCTGGCAAAGATTTTGGGGATCTATCAGGTACTTGCTTTTAGATTGACCTCAAAAGCTGTCAACTATTTTAATCAGATTAACCGGACAACTTGCTGTAACAACTTATTTTTTTAGTGACTGCTGATACCTACTCTTTCTGTGGCTGTATTTGTATTGAAGGTTAAATCAAAGCATCTTAAAGGCGGGAAAGAGTCGAAGATAGATGTCTTAGTTATGGAGAATCTTATGTTTGGAAGAAATATTACGCGGCTCTATGATCTCAAAGGATCTTCACGGTCTCGTTATAATCCTGATTCTAGTGGGAGTGACAAAGTACTACTAGATCAGAACTTGATTGAAGCAATGCCCACATCTCCGATCTTTGTGGGAAACAAGGCAAAGCGGTTGTTGGAGAGAGCTGTCTGGAATGATACTGCTTTTCTTGCTGTAAGTTTCTTAACTCTCTTCTTTGTGTGTATGCTCACGTGCCATATTCTGATCAGCTAAACTTGTATTTCCATGTATACTAAAATTAGATGATCCCTTATCCAATCTAACATGTTATCTAATCTGATGCAGTCAATTGACGTAATGGATTATTCACTACTGGTTGGGGTGGACGAAGAGAAGCATGAATTAGTACTTGGAATTATTGATTTCATGAGGCAGTATACATGGGATAAGCACCTTGAAACTTGGGTTAAAGCTTCGGGCATCCTCGGTGGGCCAAAGAACGCTTCTCCTACTGTAATTTCCCCAAAGCAGTACAAGAAAAGGTTCCGGAAAGCAATGACAACCTATTTTCTGATGGTTCCAGATCAGTGGTCTCCTCCGTCGATTGTTACAAGCACCTCTCAGTCTGATTTGGGCGAAGAGACAGGTGCTAATTCGGTTGAATGATGCTGGGAGTCAATCCACATATGCATGTAAGCATGCCATTCAGGAACTGACCCTCCCACATGAACTTTGTTACCTTATTCATTTACCTTCGTTTTTTAATATCGATATCCCAATTCTTTTGTATAGAAGTATATCATTTGCATTTTCTTGTTTTACGTAAGAAATTCGTGATTATTTTGTTAGAAGATGCAGAAGAAGGCTGTTGATGAAGCCATGGAAATTTTGGTCAGGGGTATAGTATTGGATGACCTCTCCATTAAATCCTTGAGTAGGAAGGAATATAATTCTTGATGTATTTAAGCATTACAGCATCTATATTCAGTGAAGTGAAAGTCCTTAGTCTTGTGTATATTAGATTGAGGTTCATTTGCAATGCCATCTCTCTCTCTCTCTCTCTCTCTCTCTCTCTCTCTCTAGATTTATGACCCTTTTGATTTCAAGTTGATCAAAATTTTGATGGAATAAAATTGGTAAAGTGGAAATATATTGAGGAGAGCTGTCTTATTAATACTCAGGGAGTGATGGAAGAAAAGAAAGAGTAGGGTGAAAAGGCATATGATATTTGTCCTCATCCTCTAATGTTTAAATTTTGTCGACCCTCAATTGTCGTCCATAACGCTTGAATTGAAACTCCTCAAACAGTATGTAATGTTTAAGTTTGATTTTTGTTTGCCAAATGTTAGTGAACTGCTTTTCATAAAGACCTTTTAGTTTTCGATTCTGATCAACATTTAGAGTATGTTTACTTAAATGAAACATCGGTTCTACATTAACCAGGAATTAGATTAACTAGGGTAGTTGATCTCATTCCCATTCATTGTTTTCCTTGTTTGAATCATTGACTTATTTCATTTCAATTAAGTAAACATAATATTAAAATACGAGAAAACGGAGTGCAAAAAAAAGATTTGAAATTGGACCTTGTGTACATGCTGGGAAAAAAAAAGGATGTGCTTCAAAGGCACTGCATTTATATGTTACACATTATAAATGGGGCATATATAGTTTTGGTGAAATTGTTTATATGGTTGACAATAGAGTTGTTGGGGACACTTGGCATCTGACTAGCGGAAAGTGTTGGAGCCATTGCAGTTCTTTATGTCCTCTTGCAGAAATACACTGCCTTCATCGCCACGGCACAATTCTGTGTCTGTTATAAAATTAATCCACCTTTGTTGAAGACGATCAAAGATCTCTGCGTCTCTGCTGATTTTTTTCCAAGAAAAACAACAAAGAGATAAGAATCAGATGAGTCCAAACTAGCCGGCTAGTGATTTTGACACTCCTGTTTTCTCCATCTGCGCTCTAAACTGAACATTTTGCAAACGCTTCTTTGCACTCGCAAGGGAAGTTTGAGTGAAGGAAGCTAACCGGGGAGTGTTAAAATCGCTTGCCAATCAATTTCATGTGACATGATCAAACTTTACTTGTGTTAGGATGGTGATCGGTGATTAAGATTGCGATTAAGAATGTATAAGACTGAGATTTGTTTACCTGGGTTGCCAAGGTGTTCTTGGATTATGTTGGTGATACCTAGGACCCTCATCAAACCCTTCACAAATTATCTCTCCTCTATCATCCTTGTAGCATATTATTCCATTGGCCCGATCCTCAAAAACCTGCAACAACCCCAAAGAACAAAAAAGAACAAAAGACCTAAAAACAATCAGATATAAACAAGAAATCTTTGCTGACACTTAAAAAAAAAAAAAAAAAAAAGAAGAGATCAGGTCGTTTTACTGAAGAGCTGATATTGCCTAATCCTTTATTAAAAGGTTATAACAAAATCCCATCCCCAGTTTTTTGTTTTTGGTTTTTTTTTTTTTTTTTTTTGAATTAGAAAAAGAAGAAAATAATACTGACCTCTTCTCTCAAGGAGGATCTGATCTGGAGGGTACAGCTTTTGATCTTGACTGTTAGTTGACTGTTTTTAAACCTCAAAACTCTGCTGAAAGGCTTTAAAACCGGCCCAGATTTTTGGATGGAGATGGAAGCAGGAGAAAAGCAACATGTTGCAGGCATTGATGTGAAGTATAATTATTATATTTCGCAGAAACAAGAAGAAGAAGATGGAGAGGAAGAAGCAGAAGAAGAGGAAGAAGAGGTTACTAGAAATGGAATGATGCTTTCTCTAAGTCATAGGCCTATAAGTTTTTTTCTTCCCTCTTTTTATTTTATGCTTTTAAGTGTTGCAGGATGATTAAGTAGAGATATGAAATAAATAATTCAAATATTTATTTTGCAACTTTGCATTATATTTGTGAATAAACACAGGGGAGGTGTGGGGCCCGCCTTGCTTATCTTCTTCCTGTTGCTGCCGGTGAAATCGAGGTCATACTGTTGGTTTGCTTTGGGTGGCTGGGTCTTTTCATCATAAGCCATTTACGGAATTTAGGGAGAATCACTGTCTTTTTTCTTTTCTGAGTAATTTATAATGCATTGGTTTTTGAACAGTTGAATAATTTAACTATAGAAATTGCTCGTTTAATACACCGGTCCATTACATGCATAAATATATTATAAAATTTTGGTGTTTTGTATAACGACAAAAAGAACAAAACAAAATTTATGCACGCATTGCAAGTTTAATTTGTCTCCAAGAAGAAAAACCGTCATGATATTTGCTTTTAAAATCCATATGAAGTGACTGAAAACACAATTAAAAAAAAAAAGGTTTTTATACATGTATATTATGTGATTTATAAGTAAGAAGAAAAATAAAGTATAAAAATAAAGGGTGAATTATACAAAACTACTTTAATTATTGATCAAATCATAATTTCATACCTAATGTTTTGAACATTGCAGTATCATACCTTAACTCATGAATTTGTTACAATATCAAACATCTTTTAAAAAAATCATTAATTATTATGTTAACTGATGACTGGACAAACAGGAGACCCACTTCTTTGCCTAATTAAATTAAAAAATTAATTAAAATTTAATAAATTAAAGATTTTTTCTAATCTGAACAAAATTTTAATAAAAAAAATCTCTCTTTCTCCCACCAGACAACTCGCTTTGAATTCCTCCGATCCCCGTAACCACAACACCAACCGCCAAAGCCTCCATGGACATCGAGACCTTTTACGACAACATCCTTGCCGCCATCGTCGTTCACGAAGGCGAGACCATAATGGGCGGTTCTGGGCGATCGAGTTGCTTCGCCGTTAGGGAAACGATTCCGATCGGTACCAGGATTTCAGTTGGACTCGATCTGGAAAATAGACCTTGGCAAGGCTCACGACAGATCTGAGGTAAGGGTTTGGAGGCGAAAATGAGGCGGTTGGGTAAACGGGTCATAGGAGATGATTGAGGAGGAGAAAGGACGGAGCCGATGCAGCTGTACCTGAGGCAGTTGTTGGTGAGGGAGATGACTCGAGGCTAGGGAGTCAGCCGAGCCGGTTCGATTTCGTCCTTGAGCTTCTGTTGGGATCGTGCTGTTGTGGAATTGTGGTCGAACATGTCCCACTTAAGGAGGGGTGTTGAGCCCAACCTTGGACGTGAGGAATAGGCAGATTTGAGGTGACTGGCAGGTGGGGGTGGCGGGAAGTGTGGCTGGGTTGTGGCTTTGGTGGTGAAGGAAGGAAGGGGGAGACAATGGAGCGAGGATGTGGTTGCCGCTGCTGGTGGAATCGAGGACAGTAGAGATTTTGGAGTAGTGGAAGGCGTCGTTCTGGGAGGGAGGAAGAACTCAATGGAGTTTGGGGAGGAGATGTTGTTGGCTGACGGTGGGGCTGCGACTGAGGGGTGAATGAATGGGATAACAGAGGATTGGGGATGAGGGGCCCACCAAATTCTTTGTTTTTATTTGACTTTAATTGTTAAATAAAAAATAAAAATTTTATTATTGATTAATTAATTGTTTATTCCAGTTGGCAAAGGAGTGGGTCAAACTCTTGCCACGTCATCATTTAACAATCAAATTAACAGAAAATTTAACAGATGTATGATATTGAAACGAATTCATAAGTTGAGGTATGATATTGTAATGTTTAAAATATAATGTATGAGATTGTAATTCGACTAATAATTGAGATAGTTTTGTGTAATTTATCCAAAAATAAATTATTTTCATTTTTTATGTTCATAAAAGTAAAAGAAGAAACTAGCAGATAGAGATGGGTAATAATAATATTGATGAAAAATATTACTACGTGATTGGGAAAGTTGTGTAAAATAATGGGAGTGATGCCGCAATATTATTCAATTGTTATATGTATAGTGACCAAGAATTTAAAAGGTGAACGCTGAGCAAGGGATTAGTGCTTGGCCTTGTTTGGCAGCTCGAACTGTACTGACTATTTCTGTCGGATAGGATAAATAGCCACCGGATAGTACTGACTAAATTAGTCGGGTGTTTGGTGTAGTATCAGACTAATGACCGTATTATTTATACTGTGTTTGATATTATACTAGATAGGAGGCATCAAACTTTAAAAAAAAAAAAAAAATTTAAAATGAAATCATTTTTTTGTTCCCAGGTCTCTCTGCACCCCCCAAACACCCTCCCTCTCTCTCCCTTCTTCTTCCCCGATGATAGAAGAATCCCAAATAATTGTTCCCCAGCTCTCTCCGCCACACCCCCCAAACTCCCTCCCTTTCTCTCCCATATTCTTCTTCCCCGACTAAATAATCCGGACGTTTTGGTTGGTTTTATTAAGCGGGTGTATACCGTATTATCCTATCCGACCGGTTAAATTAATCCGGTGCTTATTTAGTACGAGTGAACGCCAAACACCCGGATCCGTATAACTAATCTTATCTTATCCTTTATCCGATCTGCCAAACATGGCCGTAGTCTAGGTGAGAGTTTATAAAGTATTTGACCATATTAAAAACATGGTGTATATATGTATCATGAATGTTCATTTAAGTATTAAATAAATTTATTATAATTTATTAAAAAAATAAAATACAAAATAAAGTTATTTGTTTTTTCTTAAAGTGAGGGTTACAGCCTAAATGGATCTAAATGCGCTAGACAAGTCTAGACGTCTTTTTTTTTTTTTTTTTAATTTTCTAACATCTAAAAATTAATTATGACAGTGGCCAACTGTCTAGTATCTAAGTGAGATTTTTCAAACAAAAAGTAACTGTAATAAACTATCCAAAATTTTCAACTTTTAATCGGGCCGTTGCTTCTAAATGTCACTTTGCTAGAGGAGTGGCTGTGCATCAGCAAGATTTACTTTTTAAGCAAAAAATTGTCCATCAATCAAAATCAAGGGTTGATAGAATATATAATCTCTTCTTTTATTATTGTTGTTTATGCTTTTTTTTTTTTGGGCAATGATTTTCAACTAGACTTAGCACCATCCTCATTTACATTTATTTTTTTAATATTAAACAGAAATAATATCTAAAGAAAACTTGTTGCACGGTGTATAATAAACGAATAGGATATCATAATTCCTAAGATTCTCACAAAAAAGATCTAGATGAGACCCAAATTGAAAATTTGAAATTTCTATAACAATTTAAAGGATAAAAGAGTTTCATACAAGAGATGCATGGGTAAAAACCCTAAAACATTTGCATTACTGTACATGGTAATAAGAGTGGCTTAAAAGTGTTGCATAATACAGACTTCGAATATATCCTTATTTGACAGAATTAGAATATGTGACTTTTTAGTTAAGCCTTCAATCAGCTGGAATCTGACTACATTTACCACTATAAGGGGCATTTTTGTTTTGTACAATTTCGCCCTTATTTTTCACTGGCATTGTTCCTATCCTCCATTCTATTTAAGGGACTCTAAAGTTTTATGTTGTTGCATGTAATTTCCTCTAATCTTGAAGTCAATTAGCATTATAATCCAGTAATATTAGTTTTCATTTGAAAATAAGAACTTGAGCTTGTATGTTTGACTCCTGTAAATAACGAGTTTGTACCAAAATTATTATGACTATTTCATTATGTTTCTTGACTCAAGTTCTCCACCTAATCTCCTTAGTATAATTATATTGTTGTATTCCAAAAAAAGTATCATCATTTGATCTTTTCGCCTTCGGGTTTCCTAGATAAAATTATGAATTGCATCAAATGTCATCACGGCCCTAGTATTCTGATGCGTTAGGAATGTGACACACAAATTAAACCCTATTTGTGACAATTGTAGTAATGATGTAAGTAGGGATTGTTCTAACTGGGGATTAACTAGGGATTGCAAAATCACTTGGAAACTGACTCAAAAACGTAAAATAAAGTTTAAAACACTAAACTAGACTCAAAGAATGCAAAACTAAACACTTAAAACACTAAAACAAACCAAAAGACTCAAACAGCACCCAAAACACTCAAAACTGCCTTAAAAACACTTTCTGGGCAGTTTTGAGTACTTTGACTACTTTGGACGAAATTGGGTAATAAAATGAATCAAAACACTTAGAAACACAAACTAAGACACTTTCTAACTAAGTTGGACACTAAAGCAAAGGGGGATTGAGTTTTTGACGAATTTGAAAACAAAACTTAAAACTTTGTAAAACGAACAGATTTTAAAACGAATTTGGATTTAATGAATGGAATGGAGGCTAGCTAAGGGGTTCATCTCCACACATGCCATACTTGCACACAAAACGATTTCTAATTGCTTTTCAATAACCCATGAATTCTCAACGCCCCAGATTAACCGTGAATTGCACTAATTAACCCTCAGATTTTCCTAACGTTATTGAATTGGATGATTGCATACGACAACCCAAAGCATTCCCCACAAGTTCCCTACATGAATTGCATAATAGAGATACAAGCAAGAATCATTAAGTTCTTTGAAAACCATAAGCATTGACGAAGCATTCGTTACTATGAATTGCATGAAACTTATGCCAAGAATTTACTTAACGCAATTGAGGTCATCAACTTTTACTACTTGTGAATATAAGTTTGTAACGATTAGGAGAAACTTCCTTATATCCTAGCATTAGATTTACGCATGATAATTAAGCGTGCGCTCTCAACCAACACACACAAATCAGTTTAATTCAAATAGATAAGTAAATTGAATTCACAACTTATGAAACGCAATTAGAGGTAATCAAATCATATAGCAAGCATGATCATGGTTTCGAATCCCCCCTAGCCAAGGGGGGTTTAGTTCCTCATACGTACAAGACAAAGATAAGTAAATTTAACCATTGAAATCAAGGAGAGGAAAACACCTAAAAATTCCAACAACTCAAACTTGAATTGTATGAACATTTAAGC